TTAGACAAATTTATTTAGTTGGCTCCATCCTCATCATCTTCATCATCATCATCATCATCATCATCTTCTTCTTCATCATTATCACCATTGTCATCTTCATCATCATCATCATCATCATCTACATCATCATCATCATCATCATCATCATCATCACTATCATTACCACCAATCATCATCATTACCATCGTCATCATCATCATCATCATCAACATCATCTACATCATCATAATCATTATCATCACTATCATCATCATCCTCTTCTTCTTCTTCTCCACCATCATCATCGTCACCATTGTCATCTTCATCATCATCATCCTTTTCTTCTTCTTCTCCTCCACCATCATCATCGTCACCATCATCATCATCATCTACATCATCATCATCACTATCATCATCATCATCATCATCGTCTTCTTCGTCATCATCATATTCAAGCGCCTAATGGCCTTCTTTTGTTTCTTTTATTATCGCCAATGATTACATAATTTAATGATATACACCTTTTTCGTTAACGAAATTTTTGTGCTATGGAGGTAGTATTTTCATCATCATCATCATCACCGTTATCACCATCATCATCATCATTACCATCCTCCTCATCATCATCACTACCATAATTATCATCACTAATATCATCATCGTCACAAATTTTCACGTTTTTCATCATCATCATTATCATTCTTGTTATCAATATCATCATCAGCAGCAGCAGCATCACCATCATCATCATCATATACATCATCATATGCATCATCAGCAGCAGCATTATCATCACACACGTAAGCAATTTATTTTGTTGCAAATTTGTTAGAAAAAAAATCTTCAGCTCTAGAAGTTTCTAAAATTTCCATGGATGAATAAGTTCAGTTTCTTACTTCTTTACAACTCCTTCCCAAACATTTTTTCACATTTCTGGTTATTTTTTTTTCGGTCTATTTCGTTGAGGTGATTAAATTTTAAAAGAAAAAAAAACTGTCATCATCATTATCGTCGTCGTCATCATCACCATGGCCGTTTCGTTGGTCGTCACAACTATCATTGAAACGAAACGACGTCGACATGTTATTTTCATCATCTTCATCGTCGACAGTTTTAGAAATATCTTCTAAACTTTTCTCCAGATGATAAAAATTAAATCGATGGCTTTGAACGAGAGAAAACATTCAAAAAAAAGCTAAAAAGAATGAATGGATGAATGGATAAATGAATGAATTAACGAACGAACGAACGAACGAATGAATGAATGAATGAATGAACGAATGAATGAACGAATGAATGAACGAACGAATAATCAAGCAACAACAAAAATATTTATATGTTTCATAGGACATCACAGCAAGTAAGACTCGCATAAATTATATAATAGAGTACTATGTGTCAAAATCTGATAACAATAGATCATAATTATATTATAATATATTATATTATGTTATTTATATACACACTCTCTCATACTTTCTCTCTCATTCTCTCTCTTTTCTTTTCTCTTCTCTCTTTCTATCTCTCTTTCTTTGACGTATACACATACACGTACACTGTATACTTAAACACTTTCTCTACACACTCTTCTCTCTCTCTTTCTCTCTCCTCCCTCTCTCTTTTTCTCTCGCTCTCTAACATGTACACAGACACAATAATATGCCCATAAACTAAACACAGACACACACACACACACACACACACACACACACACATGTGTGTGTATAAATATATATATTCTTTATGTATACATAAATATATATATATATGACATACACATACATACATTAGTACTAAGATGTCGTATTGTTGTTACACATTATACATTGGACCTGTTAGAGCTTTCAATTTGAAGCGAATTTGAACTTTAAGGCATGATAAGTTTACTGAGATTTTTATTTCAATTTGTTCATTTCAATTGTTTGTTTTTTAATTTTTTTCCTAAATATTTTTAATTGTATTAATTCAAGTGCTGTTTTATTATTTCTATTCACTTTTGCAATATTTTAAAAGTGAATTTCATTAAAAACTGTTTCCAAAAAGTCGAGATTTGAGTTAGTTTGAATGTAAAATTTGTGACTAAATATTAGTGACATGCCTTTATTTAGTTGAGGATTGATTTGGATATGTTATTTAAATGAATAGGAGTTTGAATCAGTTAATTTTTTCAAACCGTTACTAAGATTTTCTTTACTCTGTGAATGACATTTGAATTTGAGTAGGCTTGTACTTGATTTGTTTTGTAGTAAGTAGTAAGCGAGCCTTTTAAATTTATAAAATGCATTTTTATTTGTCGAATTCAGACCGATCAGGCATTAGCATTTTTAAAATAATGACTTTTTCTTTTTTAAAAATGAATTAAAATTATATTAAACACTTATAAATCTTAAAAAGTACCATTTAAAAATTAAAAGTGGAAATAAAATAGCCATTTTTTAATCAATTTTAAATTTCATATCTTTTTAGTATTTTCGTACTGATGACTTTTCTTTAGCTGCACAAAACAAATAAAATTATTCACTAAATTTTTCTCAAATTTGATTCAACTTTTTCACATTTAAACTTAGCTATTAAAAGGTATAAATGTCTAAATGAATCACATGATCCTGGTAAAAACCAAACTATAACAACGACAACAACAACATCAATAAGGTCTTTAACAAAACAACATTAACAACAAAATGTCAAAAACAACAACAACTGGAGATGCCAGTGTTTTTTCCAAAGTCATGGCAAAAATTTCAGTACAATTCCTCAACTATCTATTCACCAGAAAGGAAGTTTACCAGGCATTTGTTGGAATGATTAAAAGTAAACCTGGAGTAGAATTAATTTTTGATAAACGCAAAAACACCTGGTATGTTGGAGGTAGTTGGGACTCGATCTGCCTGATTCGGCAACAAATGATTGTACTTGTCGACTGCATGTTCACCTTCAATGACGTTCAAGAGCAGATCAAAGATCATGAATATCAAGAGAGTCCGCACAAAAAATGGAATTCTTCATTAAATTATAATGAAAATTTTACTAATCTATCTGATGCATCTAAAAGTCAACAGTACAGTGTAGTCAAAAAGTTTGTGCACTCATCTGATCAGCCAGAAACACAAAATGCCAATAACTTACCAACAAATTTTTTCAACAACCATCATTCGATGTCAGAATCACCACTATCATCACCAGTCTCAACACCTTTACGACAGTTAAGTCAATCATCAACATCAAATTTAGCTTACAACATCAACGTCGGCAACAACAACATCATCAACAACAACAACAACAGTTACTCAAACGACACCATTATAGATTCGTATTTACTGAATGACATGTTTTCAGCTAACGACATCATCAAAGAAAACAACATTTACAACAATGACGACAGCAGCTACAACAACAACAACAGCTACAACAACAGCAACGACATTAACAACAGCAACTACAACAACAACGACGATTTTAACAACGAAATTAACTCGTCCACCGTAATGAACTCTTTAGAATTGTCTGCTCATGGATTTGAATCCAACTCTATAGTAGATTCAAGCGACAATAGCAACTCTTCGTTCATTGAAAAGTTTGACAACTGCGCAGCACCAGACGAGAAAGATTATAATTACAAGGATGGTATCATCGATAGTAAAACTCCCAACGAGGATTTAATTTTGAAATCGATTGAGTCTTCTTTTAGTGAAAAGGGCAGTTTGGATGACGTCACTGACAGCAACATAAACAACAACATAAACATAAACAACAACATAGATAATAAATTAATCAACAACAACAACAGAATTTTAAACAACAATGATAATACTAATAATACTGATAATAATAATAATGTGAATAATAAGATAAACATCTGTAATAACAAACAGACTATAACATCTTTGATCTTGGATTTGAGTAAAAAAGTTGATGCTGTGACTGTTAATGGTAAGAAAATTTTTAATTTTTATTATTGTTTTTATGATTATTGTTACTGCCGTTGTTGTTATTTTGTTATTATTATTATTATTATTATTATTATTATTGTTGTTGTTTCGTACCTTCTAGAATTATCCCCGACCATTTCAAAGAATACAACACAGTTTGTACCAACAACAACAACATCAACAACAAGAACAACTAGTTTTGTTGATCAGTTGCTGCTGAATAATTCCCGAGAAGAACAATTTGCAACAACTACATCTTTCTTACAAAAATCTTCGCAACAACCACAACAACAACCACAACAACAACAACAACCACAACAGCAGCCTCGGCAGTTACCGCAACAACACCAATATCAATTAGAAGATCAGATCTCAATTTCACCAACAACACCAACAGGTATGGCGACATTGCCAGAACTGTTGACAACAAAACCTAGCAACATGAAAGACAAAAATTCTCCATTCAACAATTGTTCCTACTGCTCTAAAGTATTTATCAACAAAACAAACCTCATTAAACACGTGAAAACAGCTCACCATGGCATCATCAACAACAACAACGATAGCAACAATGTTGAAAGATGCTGCAACAAAATTATGGCGACGGGTGGTAGAAAATATTTAGACGAAGTTGACATCAAATTAGAGAAGGATTTCACCAAAGTTTTAAACAAACAGTTGGCTAGAGCTTGTAAATTTTGCTCCAAGGTTTGTTTTTTTCAAAATTTTTCTTCTTCGTTTGAATGTTGTTATTTTGTCTTGTCTTTCATTTATTTTCCTGGTTTATGTTTATGTTATATTGTTATTAGTGACAAGATTTGTCAGATTATTTCGTTGTTTTATCCAATTGGACAACATTGTTGACAATTTTGAAGTGACTCTGTGGAAAAAATATGCAACAATTACTCAACTAGTCAACCAAACAACACTTTAACCAACCAACCAATCAACACTTCAACCAACCAACTAACCATCCCACCAACGATCAACCAATCAATAGTTCAACCAACCAACCAACCAACACTCCAACAGGTCTTCTCAACACGTTCCAACCTCTTCAAGCACTCGCGCAAATGCAAATCTGCCCACCAGTGTCAGACCTGCCAGGACCGCTTCGAGTCTCACGCTCTCCTCAGCCAGCACACCTACGTCGTCCACCAACTCTTCCTCTGCCGCCTGTGCGATATAATCGTCGACACGGAAGAGAGCTACGCGGACCACGTCAATTTTTGCCACCCTTCTGTCTCCCTAGATACCGCAACCCCCGAGCCGATGGTGTCGTCTGTGGCGGAAGATGATGACGTTGCTGGTGAGAGGGGGGCTCCTAGAAATGTTCTTTCAAATAGCGAAAGGATGGAAAGTGATGAAGTTGCTGTCGTCGGCGTCCTGTCGCCACTGGTAGCTAAGCCGCCCGCTGCCGAGCCGATCATTCCGATCTTGGATAATGACGCGGATAAGGTTTTGTTGATATTTTAGTTGGCATTGGTTGCCGGTAACTCTGACGCTAATGTGTGATAGTTTAAATTGTTGTGAGTATTTTTATGCAGGTTGTACTATTCATGCGAAACCTAATACTCTTCTAAAGCATTATTACCTCAATTTGGTTGTTAGTAATTCAGTGGAGCTAACTATCCACCACACATTTTTCTGTCAAACACGCAATCACACACACGCATATGCACATTGATAGACACACACACACACACGCACATTGATAGACGCACGCACACACACACACGCATACACACACACGCACATTGATAGACGCACGCACACGCACACACGCACAAACTACAGACAGTCAGATGCCATAAGCCGAACCCGTGCACGAATTGTGGGAAAGTCTTCTCAACATTCAGCAACCTGCTGAAGCACATCAGAGTCATACATGAGAATGCCAGATTCCCATGCAACCTCTGCAAGCGAGTGTTTGCCTGTAAGGATGGGCTCAGAAACCACATGAATAAAATACATGACAAAGTTACTCATAAGTTAGTATCTGTAGTAGTAGTTGTTGTAGCAGTAGCAGCAGTAGCTGCAGCAGCAGCAGTAGTAGTAGTAGTAGTATATTGCTGTTGTTGTTATTATTATTTTTATTATGGTCATTGTCATTCACCCGTCATTACGTCAGATGCGAGATATGTTCAATGGAGTTTGAGAACCAATCACGTCTGGCGAAACATCTCAGCCTCATCCATAACAACCAATCATCGATCTACAACTATCCCTGCGAATTATGCGGTAAGAAATTTCTCTACAAGACAAACCTGAAACGCCATAAAAAAGTTAGTGTGGTGTCTATGTGTGTGCTTGTGTGTGCGTGTGTGTGTGCGTGTATGCGTGCGTGTGTGTGTACTTTTACTTTTGCTGTGGCTTCTCACCCACTCATCTGTCAATAGTTAATAGTTAATGACAGTTAATGAATGCCTAGTAGCGTAACACACACACACGCACACGTGCACACACACGCACATACACACATGCAAAAGAAGCAGGTTTTTTAGACATAATGACAGCTATGATGATGATGATGATGATGGTGATGATGGTGATGACGTTGTCATCTCATTCCTTTATCCATTCATTCATCTGTTCACCACATCCACACGTTTGTTCGTTCGTCCGTTCATTCATCTGTTCATACATTCGTTCATTTAACGTTTATTTGTTCATCATGCATTTGCTCATTTGTTTATATTTTCATTCAATCATTCACTCGTTCGTTCATTCATCTATATAAACGTTCGTTCATTCTTTAATTTGTTTTTTTTTCTCGTTAATTTATTGAACTTCATTCATTCAATCATTTATTTATTCATTCATTCATTTTTTTCTTTCATTCATTCATTCATTTATTTATTCATTCATTTATTTATTCATTCATTTATTTTTTTTCATTCTTTCATTCATTTATTCATTCATTTATTCATTCATTCATTCATTCATTCATTCATTCATTCATTCATTCATTCATTCATTCATTCGTTCGTTCATTCATTCGTTCATTCATTCATTTATTCAAACGTTCTTTCATTCATTCATCCGTTCATTCCCCCGTTCGTTGCTATTGACGATAATTTGATTTTCATTTATTGGCATATCTAGACCAAGTGTTCCTGAAAACTTTTAAGATTATTTTTATTTTTAAATTTCGATTTTTTAGCTGTAAAAGAAACAAACAGGATGCTTCTATTGATTCTATATCATCGTCATCATCATCAACATTCATTCATTCATTCATTCATTCATTCATTCATTCATCCATCCATTCATCCATCCATTCATCCATCCATCCATTCATTCATTCATTCATTCATTCATCCATCCGTCCATCCATCCATCCATCCATTCATTCATTCATTCCTAGTTGGATCACGAGGGCCTCAGATATACATGCCAACGATGTTCCACTCCTTTCAGAAGCAAGAGTCAACTCAATGAACATCACCGAATCATTCATCTAGGTTAGATCTTTGTTTTCTGTTTGTATGTTTTTGTTTTGTATATGTGTATGTGGGTTGTATGTTGCATCTGTGTGTTTTTTTGTATGTGTGTTGTGTACGTGTATGTGTGTTTCTTTGATAGAATGTGTGTATGTGGTCGTATACAAGCGATAATTGTATGTTTGTACCTGTTTAAATGGGTTCGTTCTCACGTTCTATTCAATTCAAGTTATGTTAAGTTTTTGTTTGTTTTGCAGAGGTTGTTTATTCGTGACTGTATAATGTTTGTTTAAATCTGTGTGCTGGTTTGTTTATGTTTTTGTGAGTAAGTTTAAGGTTGTTTGTATGTTGTTTAGGGGTCGTTAAGTAGGTAGTCATCATTGTTGTTTTTTTACGTTTGTTTTCGTTTGTTTTTTATGTGTTTCTATAAAGTTAGTTTATGTTTGTTTATGCTTATGTATGTTTGCATGTACTTATTGTATTTGTGTATGTTTTGTATGGTTTTGTATATGTTGTTTGTTTATGTTTATGTATGTTTGAATGTACTCACTGTGTTTGTGTATGTTTGTGTATGGTTTTGTATAGGTTGTTCGTTTATGTTTCCATGTTGTTTAATTTTTTTGCTAAAGGGGCGAGTTTAATGTTTGCATCTGTTAAACTTGGCACTGTTTACATGTAGATGCTTTCTGTTTAAAACAGAGAGGGGGGGGGAGAAAGAGAGAGAGAAAAAGAGAGAGGATAGAGAGAGAGAGAGAGAGAGTTATTATTAATTCGTTCGTTTAGTTCTTGATCTTTGGTGTTGCAATTATTATTATCATTCATTGTTATAATTATTCTTTTCTATAGTGAGAAGATAATATTTATTATTATTTTTCTTATTTTTCTTTCTTTCTCTATTTTGATTCATCAGACAGCGCTCTACAATAATAACAAATGCGACTCTTGAAATTTGCTCTACTTAGCGTTTTAACTTGAAAGCGATTTTATATTATTTTTCACGAAAATAAATTTTTGACTAGGATCTGTCCATAATTTTCGTTCTCCAGTTTCTTTTTCTTTTTGTATGTTAATGTATTGTATATGTGTGTATGTGGGTTGTATTTCTGTTTGTATGTGTGTTTGTATGTGTGTGTGTGTGTGTGTGTGTGTGTGTGTGTGTTTGTGCGTTTGAATGTGTGTGATGTACGCATATGTATATGTATCAGAATGTGTGTTTGTATGTGTGTACGTGTGTACGTGTTTGTATTTATGTATGTGTTTGTTTGTGTGAAAACTTTTAGGTTTAGCCCTGAAGTGCGAGTTATGTGACAACGAGTTTCACAGCTGGTCAACCCTAAGGGACCACGAGAGGGCCGCCCATGGCAAGCACGCCCCCATCATATGCGCCATCTGTGGGAAGAAATTTAGCAGGTGGGTGATGTTTTGTAAATTTGTATGTTTGTTTGTGTGTGTGTGTTTGTTTGTTCGTTCGTTCGTTCGTTTGCACGTTCGTTTGTTTTTTTAATTTTGTTGTTTTTTATTCCTAAAAATTGCATTAGTTTGCGTGTAGAAATTTCATTTACTTCATACTAAGCAATTTTGAAATTAGTTACATTAAGCAGTAGCAGAAGTAGTAGCAGCAGCAGTAGCAGCAGCGGAAGCAGCGATAATATCGGCTAGCCACTGCTGCCATAGATGTTTGTAGAAGAGTTGTAAAAATTGGTGACGGATAGAAAACACCTTGCAGATACCCCGCCTTGTCTTATCATCTGAGGAAAGAACACAAACGGAGGTTCAACGTTGCAGGTGACATCATATATGATCCTCAACAAACCACTGCCAACAACAACATCAACAACAACATCCACAACATTAACAACAACAACATCAACAACATTAACATCAACAACAACAGCGACAACAACAACAACATCAACATCAACAAACTGCAAAAGTTAACTTTTTCGCAAGTAAACTACCAGCAAGTTAGCCCCGCCCAGCAACAACCGCCGCATGTTTCCGCAACATCATTAGCATCGATAATGACATCACAAAATGAGGATTTTAAAGGCAACAACAACAACATCAACATTATCAATGCTGTCAACATCAGCAGCAACATCAACAACAGCAGCAACAACAACAGCAGCACATTAACTACCCTACAACTCCCGGCAAGATCTCAACATTGCAATGGCGTACCATCATCATCAGCGTTATCGTCGTCGTCATCATCATCATCATCACACCCCTCCTCATCATCATCATTTATTCCTTCATCACACCCACCATCTTCATCATCATCAGCAGCAGCATTTGGTATGGATTACTTACCGGCTTCTTACTATAACACTTCAACAAACAACAACACTAATCAGTTTATTAACAATTTTGACAGCAACTCTAAACATTTTTTTAAGAAACAACAACATCAACAACAACAACTACTACTACTGCATCATCATCAACAACAACAACATACAGGCTACCTACCAATGTTGTTTGAACAACAATACCTCCAATACACAGACGATGGCAATGACGTCATATACGCTGACGACTTAAACATGGTAAACAACAACGACATCAGCAACAACAACAACAACAACAACAACAACAACAATAGTTATTTGCCATTGCAACAATCTTCATCATCACCAACGCCGCCCCTATTGTTGTCATCATCACATTTCCAACTTCCTTTAGCATCATCATCGTCGTCGTCGTCATCGCGAGCTACGCCAGCCCTATCGTCCTTGATTTCGTCATCATCGTCTCTGTTGTCGTCAACCGATTTCAGTTATGATAGGATAAATAATGACGTCATAGAGGGCGTCAATGACTCAAACTTGCACAACCCAAACGCTAGCAGAAATATAAATAGCAGTACAATCATAAACAACAACAACAACAACAACAACCTAAACAACGTTAGCAACTACGCAACCGAATTTACCATGTTGTGTCAAAATTTTTCACAAAATTCTCACCGAAATCTGCAGAGGTCTATCAGCGATTCAAATAAGCAACAACAGCAACAAGAACATCAACAACTATTACAAAACCCTCATCAACAACAACGGCGTTATAACTTTCATCAACAACAACAATTACAACAGTTATCAATCCAACAACAACAACAACGGCACCATGCGAAAGTTGACTTTTCAAATACACAACACGACAACAATCACATTAACAACATAAGCAATGACATCAATAACAACAACACAAACAATAATATCAGTAACAGCAACATAAGTAGCAACAACAAAAATTTCGACAACATAATCCACAGCCTCAACAACAAAAACGTCAGCAGTGACATCAACGTCAACAACAACAAAAGCATCAGCGATGACATCATCAACATAAATAACAACATCATCAGCAATGACGTCATCAACTGCATAGAATCAACAACGACGACGATTTTAAGCTTAAGCGATAGTTATAATTTCTATGATAGCTTCCTGAATTCACCGCAATTATCTTCTTAAATTTTGTGAAAAAATTGTAAATAAATAAATTAATTAATTAATTAATTAATTAATTAATTGATATTTTAATTAATTATATTAAACTTATTATTATTATTTTATTTAGTTATTATTTAAATAGTTTTATTCTGAATTTTTATATGATTGTTAAAAATTTAAGAAAAGTGCCTAGCAAACACTGTTAACAATATTTTTAAATGAATTTTTTTTTTCATTTATTTTCGCTCGTGTTATTGTATATGTTTGTATGTATGTGTATGTGTGTATATATGTGTGTGTATATGTGTGTGTGTATGTATATGTGTGCATATGTATATATGTGTGTATGTGTGCGTGTGTACTTGCACGTGTTTGTGTGTTTGCGAACTTTTGCGTGTGTGTATATAATATGTTGTCATTTTTAAAAGGTTGACCTGTTCGTTGATGAATGAAATGTTATTTCTACGATGTAATAGCTATTCAATATTATATTAATATCGCTATTGTTATTGATGTCATTGTTATTGCTGATGCTGTTATTATTATAGTTGTTTTGGTTGATGTTGTGTTGTTGTTGTTTCCTTTGTTCGATTCGTTTTCGCATGCTATTGAAGTATTTTATTTTTAAATTATTACATGACTTAACGATAAAAGAGCAACAACCACCACTGAACACTACCTAAACTACACAACAACAACAACACAGCTACAACAGCCACCACCAAAATGAACGCTGTCTAAACTACATACACTCTTAACGACAACACAACCTTTCGGTTAAATAACTCTGGATTTGAATTGTTAAGAGATCCAGCCTTTCGTAGTGGGTGTGTGATACGTTGGGCTGTTTTTAGTCGCGCTGCCTTTGTTGATATATACACATACCATATCTCATTTGCCAGATGCACTTACACATATCGTGTGATAATAATGATGTTGACGCTGCTGCTGCTGATGATAATGAAGATAATGATGACAAGTGGTAAATACCATACGTGTATCTTATGATACTGTAGTTGTAATTATACTCTAACTTGTTGTGTCATTATTGAACTGCCAGTGGCCTTGTTTTACAGTTTTATTTCAATTCAATTGTTCGACATTTCAATTTTTTAATTTTGAAATTACTATATATATCTATTTTAAATTACAAAGAGACAGAGAGAGACAGACAGAGAGAGACAGAGAGAGACTTAAACATCCATTTGTATACACGCACATGTCATTGCTTTATCAACTGATTTTAAGTGTAAATTTTTTGTTTGTTTTTTTTTTATTTTTTATCGATTGTATATTACCTTGAATAGATTTAGATTTATGCACGCACACACGCACACACATACACACAGACATTTATATACGCAGGGACTTTTTTTGGTTTTAATTTAATCTTCGCACAAACTTTTCTTAAACCGTTTCGCCATCAATAAATCATACGGTCGAACTATTAATATATACGTCTGTATATTTTTGTGCGTGTGCGTGTGTATGTATGTGTGTGTAAATGTTTGCGACTCTTCGCCTATCCCATTATCATAAATGTACTCTTAGCATAGTGTTGTTATTACAATTGTTATGCTTCGATGATGAATTGCATTGTAAAGTTATGACGTCACGAGACGAGTATTTATTATTATAATTATTATAATAATAATTATTATTATAATAATAATAAGTAATTATTATTATTATTGTTGTTGTTGTTATTGTTGATAGTATTTGTTGTTGTCTTCGCTGTTTTATTGCTCAATAAATGAAATGAAATGTGAAATATGACAACTTGATTGATTAAAAATCAAAAATAAAACGAATAATAATATTGTTATTATTGTTAACTATAATAAAATAATAAAAAATAATAATAATAAATTTATAAAGAAATTAAGATTAAAGCAAGAATTTCTGTAAAAGGAATTATCAACAACATTCAACAATTCATTCATTCATTCATTCATTTACTCATTGTCTGATTCATTCATTTATTTATTCATTCATTCAGTCATTCGTTCTTTCTTTTTCTCATTCATTCATCCATTCTATTAAATATTAACTGATGAAATGTCAATCAAATAATACAACTGAAAATCTCACAATCGAACTGCTAAATCAACCAATCAAATTTTATAGAGTATTCAATAATAATGAAAAACGAATCATTTAGTCAACCAATTGCTGATCATCTAGTAAATCAATCAACCATTCGTCAATCAATCAGTCCAGCAATCAATCAATCCATCCTTCAATCAGTCTATCCATTGGTCCATCAATCAGTCTTCAGGAGGTGGTGGAGGGGGAGGGGGTGGTGGGGGACAAAAGGGACTGCCGCCCCAAAACTGTTGTACGGGAGGCGGTGGTGGAGGGTGAACAGGTGAGAGGTGGTTGAGATTTCTTTGCCACGGTAGCTGATCCGACGACGTTGATAATGGTGGTGGTGGTGGTGCTTGTGTCGATGATAAGCCTGAAATTACGTATAATTATTATGTTTAATTATTATGTATAATTATTATTACAAATTATGCAAACACACACACACAAACAAACAAGCACACACATAAACACACACACAAACACACGCAAGAAAACGCGCACACGCACGCACGCGCACACACACACATACAAACACATACGTAACCAAACAAACAAAAGCAGAAACAGAAAGAAACTCCTAACCATTATTCTGCCAGGATAACAATGAAATTGATGGCCTACCTGAATAATATAGCGAAAAAAAATTGTTTTAACTTTTAATTAATTAAATATATAATTAATAATCACACTTATAATTAATTAACAGATATAATAAGATATATATAAATAAATATAATTTAAATAAATTATCATCATTATCACGAGCAAGCATCCAATTAATTACTGACTATGAGAGTGGCCATTATTTAGACTCTGCTGCCAGGGCGGTAGGCTGGGCATTCTAGGGGCATGGGGCATTCTCATTGGCTGATAGCCGTGGGTGGGCGGGCCTGGTGATGGATTCCAAGAGCTGATTGGCTGCTGATATTATTGTTACATTATTATTATTATTTTATTATTATTATTATCGTTACCTCATAACTTGACTATTATTGATTATTGTAACAAAATTAGTATCTGCAAACCTTTAATGAAGAGCCTGATGATGATGATGATGATAGTGCCCCTAAAGAATGTGATGATAGTGATGATAATGATGATGATGATGATGAAGATGGCGATGTAGAAACGGGCTGTCCGAGCTCGGCCATCAGCGATAGGTACTGGGCAAAAAAAATTTATCAATTAACTTTAAAAATATTTATTTGTATATATCAATAAAATATTTTATATTCCAATTAAAGATTAATTTAAAATGAAATTAGCAAAACAAATGATCATTTAATAGGCAAAAAACCAATCAACCAATCAATCAATAAACTATCCAACCACTCAACTAGCCAACCAACCAACCAATTAATCCACTTATTAATCAGCCAAACAACTTTTAAAGGAGAATCATGAAAACAAAACAAACTTCGTTGTCCATTTTCAGCCTATCAGCAAAGGATGGCGTCGTAGTTGTGGCGGTCGTCAGTGTCTTGTCGTCGGCGCCAGCTGTCGAAGATGGCGAAGAAGATGATGCCGATTGCTGTAGTAAAGCTGCTTTCAAGGATTCAGATGGCCTTTATCCAATCAGGAATGAGAAACAATTGTGTATTTTTGTTATTTATCAATTCGTTTAGCAATAATATTTTTAAGCAATATATGTATGTGTGTGTGTGTGTGTGTGTGCGTGCGCGTGCGTGTCTGTGAGCAGCATTTTAAAGAATATTACAAAAGTAAAAATATGCATAGTTTTTCTATTGAAAGACGCACACGCACACGCACACGCACGCACAAACCAACGAACAAACACGTGCACAACAATGCATTAATTCGTTCAATCATGCCAAAACTTACTTGTCGACAATTTATGTCGTCGAATAGAATTCTATTTAGAATCTTTTATTGGACCCCATTCTAACTTGGAATTCTCAATAGCTTATTTAGCAATCAACATACACACATTTACACATACACAATAACACACACACACACAAAGAGAGAGAGAGAGACAAACATATCCAAGACACCAGTACGAAAATATTCACACCATATATAGCCACAAGTCGTCCAGTTAATTTGATATTTGTGTTAAAACAATTAGAGAAGCCATTGAAATGAAGAGAAAATTGAAATAAAGAGAACATAAAAAACACACAAATATTTTTATTCAGCAACAGCAAAAAAAAACAAATGAATCAAATTGAAAAAAGCGAACAACACAAAGAAAAAACAGACTATAGATCACACCAGTCAGCTAATCAACCAATCAACCAACCAATCAATCAATCAAACAAACAATCAACCAATCAACCAGCCAATCAACTAACCGTTTCTGTTTGCAGTCAGGGGCAATGTGTCCGGCCCCACCACAGACGGTACACAGGATGGTGTTGGTAACGATCGACTGTGCCTGCTGTAGTTGCTTCAGTTTTCTACACAAGGAGGTGTAATTGAGTAGATGAGTGAGTAAGTGAGTGGATGAGTGAGTAAACGAGTGAACGAGTGAATGGATGAATGAGTGAATGAATGAGTGAGTGAGTGAATGAATGAATGAATGAATGAATGAATGAATGAATGAGTGAGTGAATGTAACAAATTTGAAGTTTCAACATGAAATTTAAATTTCTCACGACAACTATGAAAATTATCTCAAACATTGAATGAACCATTCATCCCACCATTATCATCACAATCATCATCATCACAACTATCACCACCCTACATCATCATCATCATCATCATCATCATCATCATTACTAACGATAAAGCATCCCCTTCTCTAAGGGTACCATTCAAGAGTGCGAGCTCTCGGAGTTGTTGCCTTCGAAGGTCGTTGTCCCCATCCGGAATGGCTATGCCCTCCTTTATTATTTCTTTTATCTGGTTGTAAATAATGTAATTGAACTTAATGTCAGGCGTAAAATATGTAACGCAGTGAATCATGTAATGTTTACTGCAGTACTTGTAATGTGGAAAGCTTGGGGAAAATGTCAGTCACTCTAACAAGCCAACCAATCACATCTAAGTAATCATAACCAGCCAACCAATCTCAATCAAGCAATGACAAACCAACCAACCAGCCAATCACATTCAAGAATTACAACCAGCCAACCAATCAAAGAACTAACCCTTTCAATGGCCTTCTTCACGGAATCGGGATTGGTGGATGTGACATAGGCATGCAGAGGTTCGTCCTGTCCTGGAAGGGGAATGCCGTTTTTTGTCCCTAATTTGCCCTCTTTCACTGAGCCCTTACCTCGAATTATTATTGTCGCCCCGGTCTGGAGAAATTATTAATGGATGAATAACTCTTAAGTAATAATTATAACTCTCAAATAATTATTATAACTACTTCTACCAATAACAAAAAAGCAATAATAAAAATAGTAATAACCTCTTTTTCAAGAGTTTTCAGTGTGTTTCCTCTGGGTCCAATGAGCAGGCCGACAAAATTCAACAATGGGTAATCTTCTTGGGGTATGACAATCTTTTCACTAACTTTTATGTTAGTCGGCCTATCAGGGTAGTAAGGGAATGAAGTTTTAAATGTACAAAGAATAGGTCCAACGTTATGAATTTTAATTTTAAATATGTCAATCATGGTAATTTATGATTAAATAATTAAAATTCATAAAAGCCTATCCCTACTTGTAGTCGAAAGGTGGCTTATACTCAGGGTTAGTTTTCATGACGATTAAAATTAGCTTGTGCCTCTCTTCCTCCAATTTCTTCCTAACTCTAATTTCCCTTGTGTTCGTTCTCTTTCCGTCAGGGCCATAAATTGGTTCAGGAGAGGGAGACCTGTCTTCTGCTCTTTGGGGGATGCCTAACTCGCCAGATCGTAACCTTCTTGTTATTTCCTCTATTTGCAATTGCACTAATTTGATAAAATTGTTAAATGATTTGTTAATTAAGATTAAGGGTTAACTAATTTATTCAAAAATTATTTAACTTCAAATAAACAGAAATTAATTCAAATTGATTAATTAAATTTTTAATGTCTAATTGAAGGAAGTCAAATTTTTAAAAACAATTTTCCACTCACTGATATACTGCTCCTCTTGCGCCTTAGTTAGACCCGGAGGAATGACAGTGGGCAGGCCGCTCAGAACCGAATCATCTTCCGTATCTTGCCAGCGACTTTTTCGTTTACGTGACAGCCGTTGCTGGGCATTCTGCTTTTCTGTTTTTGTCCAAATGAAAATAGAATTTTTACATAAAATGAAAATTATGAAATAGAGTATTTCTATTTCAAATGGTTCAAATTTTGATGGTCTGCAATAAATTGAAAATAAAATATCCTGATTGATCGTGATTTTTGGGAACTGAAAGAATGAAAAAACCGGAATAGGACACATTTGAAAATATTTTAAAAATTACAAATTTACACACCCGCATCATCATCTGAAGGTCCTCTACTCATTTTTCTCAGACAAACTAATTAGATCCGAAAATGAATTCGATAGGAAATTAAATAAATTAGTGAAAACGACTAAACGTCGACTGGACATGCAACAACAAACGCAGCAGTCACTTTTAAACTAACATCACAAAGACAACATATAGATGGAATAATGTTATTTTGCAACCATATATATATATATATATATATATATATAGTATAAACATCATATATAGGCAGTGTTGTGACATACTTTGCAATTTTTTGAGTATTTAAATACTATATAAATACTAAATACTGGACAAATTTTTTTTAAATACTAAATACTGAACATCAGTATTTAAATACTTTTAAATACTGCTCTTAAAAGATGATTTAATTGAGACACAATTTGCACGGGTAATTAAATAATCTTTAAACGTAAGAACGTCAACTCAATATAAAAAAAAAATTAAGTTCCAGTCCAACCTATTCAACAGAAAGAACTTAATCTTTGTCACTGTAAAGTTAAAATTAACAGTAATTAATAAAAATTAACTTTTGTTAATTTTTAATAATAATAGTTTTTCAAACAAATTGTCAGAAAGTTTGTTCCGTTTTTTGGTGAGTACCAAAGAACCATAGCTAAAAAGGCGTTCAACAGGAGCACTAGATGGCAAACATGTGTTATATCTAAGAAATAATTCCGTTATTTCAGGATGTTTGTTCAGCATAGATAAATCTTTGTCGGCGTCATTCAAATATTGAAAGTACTTTTGATCTTGTTCTGTGTGTCTTGCAGTGAAATTGAAAAAGTCATCAACTGATTCTGACACGACAAACAGAAAAAAATTATATAAAAAAAAACTAGCGATTGGAACTAGCTGTAACTTATAACACAACTCGATTAAAAAATTTTTTCAGATTTTCATACGCAGATAAAAAATATTAAGTGACAAGTATTTAGTATTTAAAAAAATTTAAATACTAAATACTCGATTGAATTGGTATTTAAATACCCGATTTTCAAGCGGTATTTAAATACTTTCTTAAATACCGAAGTCGGTATTTAAATACTATTTAAATATTTTGGGTATTTAAATACTGCACAACACTGTATATATGAGATATATGTTTATAATCATTTACACAACCAATTACAACCTATTTAGACTTAGATGTAGAAACTCAGAAATGCGGTATTCGGTAGGAAGTGCACATGATCGTAAGCATATAATTAGAATAAATATAACGGCCTTCGCTCATTTTTGACGGTCGAACAAGGAGCTTACTTCTGGAGGAAAATTGGAGGGTGATTTTTTATCGCCCAAGTCAAAAGTTAGGATCGTATATTTACTAATTTCGGGATATTGCTTTTATTTAAAATTTCAAAATGTTTTAAAAGGTGATACTAGATGCTGTTTTGGGATAGATATTGCTGTATGACGGTTAAGTATCTTTTTGCATTTTAAATAAAAAAAATTTTTTGTGAACCACCAACAACACAACAACACTAAACTAAACGACGACTAATTAGTAATTAAATTACTAAACTCTAATAATTAAACTAAAACTAATCTCTACTGATTCTAATTACTAATTTAAATAAATAACAGATAACACTAACGAACATTAACAGATTAGACTACTAGAAACTACCAACCACTACACTAATACATACTACTACTACACTAACGACTAACAGCACTTGTTCCTAAGATCCTAAATTCTATTGCTTGATTGGTTTTAAAATTTTTATTTACAATTCTTATGTCTGGGAATAAAAAATATACTAAATTAAATAAATTAATATATTAAACAACTTATCAATCAATTTTATAAAATAAACAATTTTGTAATTTGTTCAATTCAAGCTTCAAACTCCCCAAGCTAACTTGCAATTTAATTAAAATTTATTAATTATGAGTGATTCAAACTAAATTTTTTTTTATTTAATGTTTTACAAAATATTCCTCATTCTTAAATTGTAGTACATGTTGTTATTAAATTTATGAAAGATAATGTGTGATTCCAGTGATTCATCAGTCCATGACTTGTTAGATCATGATCATTCAGTTTCAAAGAATCCCCATCACCATAACCAATGAGGTTTGTAAAAATTGTACTTTTAATTTATTATATTTTATGCACTTAGAATGTTGTGTTATTAATATTATCATTAATTTATTAAATGCTGTGCATACCTATAGCAGGTAAATCATATTATTAAGCATAGAAATAGCCACAATCAAATTAATTTATATAGGCATGAGTATAATTTGGATAATAATAATTAAAAATATCGGTATCATTGAAAATGGATAGTCATAAATAAAAAAATAAATCATAAATTGCTAAAAATAATAGTTCCAGTAAGATTTTGCCTTACACCTACATCTTTTTTTCATTCTTATATTATAATAAATGTTTGTTATAAAATATATCAAGGATTGATTTCTCAATCCATGACTAGATTGAATGTCACGATCCTACAGTTCCATAGGATCCCCATCACCATTAGTCAATAAGGTTTGTAGAAATCACCCCAGGCATACCATCAATGTTTTGTAGCCACCTTTTAATGTAGTGTTAATAAAATGACATTGAGAATAGTTATTTAAAACAATCTTATTAAAATTATTGAACAGGTATGACAAGATTACTTTCTTAATGTCCTAGTGCGAGGAAGATGTAAGCCATTTGTCCAAAGATAATTATATGCCTTATCCCCAATAAAGTGCAGTGTCAACACGAATGATTTTTGATCAAAGTCATATGTTCTAATTTTTTTAAACTTTTCCAGAAATTTTTCTGTTAATTTATTTGTTACATTAAATACTTGATGTGTATTTCATATAAAAACTTGGTTATACCAATTTAGTTAACTTGTTAAGCATTAATATAAAATTGACTCTACTTGTAATGGTGATTGGTATGATGATGATGATCCCAGTCCTAAACAAGGTTTATTATTCACAATGTCATTATACCCTTTCTAAGTTTTAATAAAATACATGGAATATTGGTGAATGCATTTTATATTTTTTGTATAGATAAGAATGTTGCAATGTACAATGATGATGTGAATTGCTTCCTTGTGTAACTGATGACATATAAATATAACTAACTTGAAAACATGGGAATGCTTTCTTCAGCATTACCTTCTTTTCTCCATCATAACCCTTATAATCTTTATTACAGAAATGGTCACTGCATATTCTTGCATTTTTTGATGGAAGCCATTTGAAATCATTTATTTCCTGTCTGATGCACTTAATCCAATCGTTTTGCATTTTTACATTTTGAGAAAATCTGAAATTTTATAAACTGTTACAAAAACTTGTGCATTTCTTAAGTATTGCCTTTAATAATAAAATGGTAGTCCATGATAGCATTATAAATTATAATAGTCTATAAAATAAAATATATGTAATTGTAAAACAAAATAGTTCTATTCAACGAGTATAGGGATATTGTTACATTTATTTTAGTGCGAAGTTAATTTGAAAATAAACCTGTGAAAAGATGCATCAGAAATTTTCTCATTTCTATTTATTATTAATGCAATTTTTAATGCAACAGGTAGGCATGTTTGTTTATAGCTACGAAAATGAAAATTTACTTAAAAACTAAATTAGTGTATCTGGTACGAAAATTAGTACAGAAACAAAAACAAAAGAATAAATGACAATATAAAAATTTAAACATTGATTGAAAGAGTTTATCCTAATTATATGGTATGGGCAATTCGTTGCGAAATCGTTGGAGGAAATGGTGTCAACAGTAGTTATTTTACTGCATGGTAGTTAATCAGCCAGTATAAAGGTTATATTCAATTCCTATCAAATAAATTTGACAAAATATACACAGGCAGAACTAAATAAAGAAATAGACATGTAGTTATAATACATTTATAATATTGTATTTACACATTCAAATTGTACAATTGTGGTATGTTGTAGTCTCAAATTATTTTAAATTCTCTCAGAAAATTTTAAACGTTTTACTACACTATATATACTAGTTATTTTTATCAACAATTTAAAAATTTTATCAATAATTAAAAAAATTTCAAATTGATTTCATTGCGATATCACTAATGATTTTTGTGACCTGACTGATTAAAAAGCATCAAAGAAAGTTAAAATAGGATGGAGAATTTGTTATATTGTTTAAATTCGTTTAAAAAGCGAGCAAAATTTTAATATAAAAGCGCTTATAAATCTATGCATATTGGCTCAGCTTGGCTTGGCTCGGCTTGGAATTGGATGTTAAGCAAGGTGTGGTTTCAAACAATTTTGAATTCTCCCCGAAAAATTTGAACTGCGTGCTTACATATATAGCACT